ATCTACCAGGGCTGTCAACACCACTCTCATGGAGGTATATCACAAAATGGCCAAAAGCATACTGGGGTTCAACAATGGAATTGAGTTCCAGGAAAGAGCTCACATGTGAATTCTTTTTCACTGTAGAAACAAACACCTTAAAAGCAAGTTAATTAGAACTAGGCAAAGAAACTGACTTCAACGAGATTTGTGCTCCTTAGTCACTTTTTAAAACGCCACCCTGAGGTGCCTGGATGTAAGACTCAGTTGAAAATGTTGCTATTGAACCACTGGTTAGTATATTGTCCAAGCCATGTCTTTATCCATCAACTTATTACAAAGACAGCTGCAAGAGTTAAAGCAGAAAAATGGCAATACTCATAAATAGGCCCCGAAGGATTAGATTTTTATCGGTGAATGTTAGCAGAATGTCAGTTTCACAATACACACACAGAACAATGGAAAAATATTTCCACTGAGAAGAACCAAAATTTATAGATAGGCAAAGTAGGAAAAATAATGTTTGAGAAATTATTGTTTGATTTAAAGCTATTTATTTTGTCAACAAATTGTTCCAAAATATGCAATGTGTTTTAATGGTTACAGAGCTTTCACTTTTGGAATGTCAATGCTTACAGTCATTAGATAATTATTGTTTGACTCTCTCTTCTTGCTGGACTCCCCCTATAATTGTTCACGGCTGAGAAAATTTAAATTGATAAAAAAAACTTTAAAATTTCTTAAAAGCTTTATGCAATTGTGAAAATTTAATTATTCTGACAACATTTATATTGACAAAAATTGAAAAATGTTGAAAAGTAATTATGTCAAAATAATAAAAAAGTAATAATCAAATTCTGCCAACTTAATTTATAAGTGGGAAAACTGAATGAGAAGTGTTTGTAGCACATTGCACCTTTTTAAGAACCTCCAATATTGTGTCTTTAAATTAGTTGGCTCTAAAATATTGGAGGATTTTATGGAGAATGTTGTGATAGGTTATTTACATGCCATACTAATATCTACTATATGCACATGGATAAAGGAAAACATAGACAAGATCCTCAGCTGATGAGAATCAGCATAGTTCCATTGAAAGCAATGGAGTTACACCAATCTATACAAGCTACAGATCTGTCCTCATTCATATGGAGCAGGTACTCTACACAAATTTGTAACCTAATTCTCTGCCAGTGTAAAGCCATTGACTTTAGTGGAGCTACCCTTGCTCACTCCCTAAGGCTGTATTGGCCCCATTATCTTATATGTTTTAAAACTAACTAGAATAAGCGGGGGAAATTGATTAACCAGGAGAATTCCAACAAAACCATACAGCTTTATAGTTTGGCTGGTGCTGGCAACAATCTTGCTTCTTGAAAGGTGTAAAAGGGAAACCCCCTTTCTTGATGTCTAGACTGCATCCCTCTGTCGACAGAGGAATACAGATTAGGCAGGTTGACATTGCAAATGAGGCAGGGATTTAAATATCCCGCGCTTAATTTGCATAAAAATGGCCACCACATTTTGCCAACTCAGCACTTTGTCTGCAAAAAGTGGCAGTCTAGAGGGGGATCTGTCGATTAAGAAAGCCTTTTTCGACAGATCCCTTATGCCTCCTGCAAGGTGGTTTACAGGATCTGTCGAAAAAGGCTTTCTTTCTCGACAGATCCCCCTCTAGACTGCCACTTTTTACCGACAAAGTGCTGAGTTGGCAAAACGCAGCAGCCACTTTTATGCAAATTAGGCACGGGATATTTAATCCCTGCCTCATTTGCAATGTCGACCTGCCTAATCTGCATCCCTCTGTCGGCAGAGGGATGCAGTCTAGACATACCCTTGGAGTTTTGAAGACACGTCCCTTTGCGCAGCAAAACGCTTCAAACGCAGGTAGGTAATCAAGAAATAAAGCTGAATGGCTGAGCCTTGTATTACTGTATACATTCTACTTGCTTCCCCACCTAAGTGAGTAAGCAAATATTTTACATTTCAATAATCCTTAATTTTCTATTAGAACCATCATGCTATGGTAGGTGAATATAACAATATTTTTTAAAGCTCTGAGACATTCTCCAATGAAAGATACAAGTGCAAGGTATTATATATTACACACAGAGGTAACAGATACAGTAATGTGATCACTCAGACTTATGATAATCAAGAATTATAACAATTCCTTTGGTTAACAGCACTGTTCTATCTTTTCACATTTCCTTACAGATTATGGATAACAAAAATATTACATTATTTCTAGGAGTATCTGATAATCAGACTAATCCTGGGAACAATTTTAAACTCCTAATAGCACAGTAAATTAGAATGTTTAGGCAATTTATTCTCTGCATATTGTCAATAGAGGCAACACTCTATTTCTCATTTCATGAATACATTTTATTGTTTTAAACTGAAATCCAGCACATGTGTTTCCAACAGATTATCTCTACAATCATTTTCTTTTTGCTATGGAAATGATCTGAAAATTGTTCTTTGATACAAGGGAAGAGTTCGCAAGGGCACATTGTACAATTGTCGGAATTGTGCAATTACCATTTGTAAAGAGAAAGTGTTATCAAAGTAACTGCAGGGGACATCTCCAGGACTCCTCTTGGAGTCAGGAAATTTGAAACATACATTTCTTTACCATGAATTTCACTTTAAACCCCTCTGAATAATGCATAAGATTTGATTTAACATCATAGTTAATTCTGGCATTCAGTCCCAGATAACAGGAGTTCTTAGGGCAGATTACCTTACTCACACACCCTTCTTAGCACCTGAGCTGTGCAGTAGTTGCAAATCTTTAGATATCAAGGTGCCTTCTGTCTTTGTAGGGTCCTCTTTAATGACAGTGCTGAAGCCTAGTGTCTACACTATAAATCTACATTGGTACAACTACGCTGGTCAGGGATGTGAAAAACCATGGAAATACATTAACTATGCCATTGGGAGAAGCTCTCCCAACAGCACAATAACATTTTCACTAAAACACTACAGCAGCACAGCTGCATGGGTGCAGTGTTTAAAGTGCAGAGCTTCCCAAAGTCAGAGGAGAGCTAGGGAGGGATAGAACTGGCTCTCATATCCCACACTTTTCAAGGCTGCCAGCCAAGACAAAGGGACTAGAAGTGGGAATGTACCATCCTCAACAGGTTCATTGCTCGTAATCAGAAGCAGAGGCCCTCTTTTTCTAAACAGTATCAAACTGTTCAAACTACCGGATAATGCTATATTCGGCCCTTAAAAACCAAAGCGCGCTGGGGTCAGAACCTCTATTCTGTACTTTAGTCGGTAAATGACAGAAGCCAGCAATCTCTGCAAAACAATCATTTACAAAGGCTAAAAGGAAAACCTGCAGTTTGGTATGAGACAAATATGTAAAACAGCTCCACTCTTTAAATATTTCCCAGTGCCCAGAAGCAGATAAAGTAGCTAAAGCCATGCACGCTGAAGGTACTTTTACTTGTTGCTAGGCACCAGCCACTGATTCACATAGTAAGAGATCAGTTTCTGAGTTGCACAGTCAAAGATCAGCCAGATGATGTAGTATATACCAAATCCATCTTTGTAGGAGGTGGGGAACAGAAAACTAATGCAAGGTATCAGGAAAAAGAAAAAAACAAAAACCACAAAAAACCTTCCTCTGAATTACTGTGGAGTTAGCAGGCTACACTGGCAAGGGCTCTGACTTCATTCACTCTGCTGGAATGGATACTGGGATGCTTCTTTCACTGTATCTAGTGATACACAAAAAGAGGGCCAGAGAAAGTGGTGAAATCCCAGCCCCATTGAAGTCAATGGCAAAATTCCCATTGTTTTCAGCAGTCAGGATTTCACCCCAAGGTATTTTAGTACCGTTTTTTGCCTAACCTCTTCTATACTCAAAATTACTGATCAGTGAATGTTCCCCAACATTTGAAAACCTTTAGTACTGTACTGCAAGTGCCATTTTACTCAGCTGGATTTTGGAAAAATATGTATGATAACATTTTGTATTTCTATGTTTATCCTCAGCCAGTGATATCAAAGTACATTTTAAAAAAGTGTTATTACTTCCTTTTACTGAAGGAGAAAAGGAGATTTAAAAAGATGAACAAACGTGCTCATGGTGAGATGGCTATTCAGTGGCAGAGATGTTATTATAAATCAGGTTTTCTAATTCCTATTTTCATGCATTGGCTTGCAGGCCAAGTTCCTATGACATAAAAGTTTGCGGCAGATTCACAGAATAATATCTTCAAATCACTGTGCTGTACCCTTCAAATCACTGATCAGGAATTTGTTTAACAATTTATGACATAAAACAGAGAATGAACCCATTTAGTACTTTGCAACCTCATTTTCCTGAAAGTGCAACATCATTTAAGTCATAACCTTCTCTTTATTATTCTCTGTGTACTGTACAACATTTTAAACTTAACTACCAAAGTCATGCCAAACTGGCCCCTTGATACTAGCAAGAAACCAGACACTTAACAACAAATATTTGAAAACCCCAACATTGTTTTAATTGAAACACTTTATGAACTAAGAGAAAATTACAACACGATTTAAATTTTAAAACGAAGTTACATACAGTACAGCTTGTTCTATAGCTTTTTGATTATTTACTTTTTAAGTATTTCCTTTTATAACATTATGCTGTAGATGACATCTACTGGGCAAACATAGGAGTCACATATCTATCATACCATAGCTTGATGGGGTACTCATTAATATTCTTTCTAAATGGCCAAAAAAGAATAAAATACTATTTGCTCTCTCCAACAAAAAATTGGAAGCCTGTACCTGTTACACAGGTAGGCACTTAGGCTACCCTTCACCTTCAAAATCAACCCTTTTTCTTCCCGTGGTTCTAGCTGAGTGCTTGTGCTTCTCGACTGTCATCTTACCAACAACTAAGAGTACGATTACACTTGCTCCCTAGTTCGAACTAGGGATGCAAATGTAGCCGATCAAAATTGCTAATGAAGCGGGGATTTAAATATCCTGTGCTTCATTAGCATAATCTCGCCCACGCGTTGTTCCGCTTGCCAGTTGATTCGAACCAGGAAGTGCGTTCCGGGATGCGTTAGTTTGAATCAAACCCCTTGGTTCAAACTAACGTAACTCCTCATAGGGGAAAACAGTGTTCACTTTGGTCACCACTAGTTCAGTCTTTTTTGCTGTTACGATAACGTCCCTATCCTGTAGTACTAATGATCAGTAGCAGGCATTGAGGGAACATAACTTAATGGTAGTCAAATATAAGTATGTAGAGAGAAAATACATAGATTTATAAAGATGCCATGGAGATTACTTTACAGGGCTCAGGGTGTTGGGCTGAGACTTTCTTTCTCTGTTTTTAGGATGTGGAGGAGAGGGATTGATTTTACGAGCAGATTTCTAACAACTCATAAAGCATGAACAGAATATAGCAAATAATGAAAACATTTAATGCCTTTTTCAAACAATGTTTATTCATATTATGTATTAACATTATACTGATACAAACAGAAATTCCTTAAAGATAAAAACACAAATGACTTGATTTTAAAAGTTGAAGAGTGTGTGCATCATCTTCCACTCAGTTTGCATGTGCAGCTGTAACGTTTGGACAGGCATATTAGATATTTAAAAGCACAAAGAGCCAGATGTATGCATAATCTAAATGACACAAGCAAATACTTTGGTTTTTGTGGTAATGCAGACATAAGTACTCACACATTTGTGTGTGGCAATGAATGCCTGGAATTCTGCAAAAAGGATCTAGAATTTGTATATATTTGAAGCCCTCAGAGGAAACTTCTTCAAGAGGAAAAAATTGCCCAGACAGCCCTTTTGCAAGAAGGCGGAAGATGGTTCGGAAGTTATGGCCCAAGTGATGACTTAGCATCACCCTCGGGGAAAGAACCCCAAACATAAAAGGAAACCTCTAGATGCTGAAAGGAACTGTGATGAATTTTTAAACCAATAAATATTTAAAAATTGCTAAAGACTATGAAAAGAGGAAAGTTCATGTTATTTTAACCTGATGTTTTATACACACCAAATACAAAGAAGTATCAGTATACATATTTCCCCTAACATCTTTGATATTTGGAAAATCATGGTGATGCAAGAGAAAGAAAAGGATTTTGCTTCTGTTATATAATATGAAATATGCTTCTTTCTGCAAAGTCCTGTATATAGTAAATTCTCACAGGTTTATATGTGGAGATTTTTTTTTTTTTTTTGCATAGGTAGGCATATTTCTCTTCCTCTTTTTCTGAGCATTAAGGTAAGATCTCACCCAGTACTGTTCGTGAACTGAAGATTTTGGGGTAGAAATCGATCAGTAATTCAGTGAAGAGATTTAAAGGAATCAGAGCACTCAGCGAAGAAGTACCTTTAGGTGGCCAGATTAAATTCAACCCAAAGACACAGGCTAGGTTCGATGCAGTCATTTTGTTATAAATACTCTCCTGGGATACCTGGAAAAGAAGACAGATTCCACTGAAAGTGACCCATGCAAGCAATACCAAAGGGCTAGATCCCGCATGGAGGTGCCTGGCATGAATACTCTGTAACCATAGGGGCCTAAATGGATCTTGAAATGTTAGCTCACCTCAAGATTGGACACACTGTAGCTATGCACGTGCTCAGTCTATGCCCCATCCCAAGGCTGAACCCACCACTCTGAGCCACTCACGTGGCATTGGGGAGTCACTAAAAAAGCAGAGTGCTTCACAAATCCTATGAAAGGAATCTGAGTAACAGCTCATGGCCATACAGTCAGAAATTGGGTTTTACTGGCTGATGACTTGGAGAATATGGGTTCTATTGGACCAAGGATTACTATAGTTCTCCTACGGTGGCTTGAGAGGGGAAATAAAGACAGACAAGGATACCATTCCCAATCTCCCTCTGAAATTTACTCTTTCTTGGTTAAAAGGTAGACATCCCCCCCATGAAGAGGTAGCAGTAGGCCCGGGGATTACTGCAGCTGAAGCCAAGCTGCAAGGAGTGCGAAGGACCACAATTCACAGAGAGTAGTTTGACATGTGCATAAGTTCTAAGGATTCTCTGCCTGAGAAAGCAGACATTGACTCTGTCTAGCAGCTTTCCATACATGACCCAATTTTCCTCCCCAGCCTACAGTTAAAACTGGAGTTGACATAGCTACAGTGCTCAGGGGTGTGAAAAATGCACATCCCTGAGCACAGAAGAATGCTTCCATCAACCTAGCTACTGTCATGCAGGGAGGTGGAATTCCTAAAGTGATGGAAAAAGTTCACGTGTCACTGTTGTCTGCACCTATATTAAGGGGCTACAGTAGCATAGCCATGGCACTATAGCTATGCTGCTCTAGTGCCTATGTTGCAAACATGGACTCAGTATTGATCTATCCAATTTACTCAGCCCTCTGGGGTTTATGTGCCCCTTACTGCTGCTCACCACTGCATAAACCTCAAGATTTAGCCTCAAGTGTTTTAAAAATAATAAGGGGTCATTTTGTCTTCAAGGAAACTAAGTACAGGTTGAACCTCTTTAGTCCAGCACTCTCTGCTCCGGCAACATCCATGGTCTGACATGATTTTAGTTAGCTGGATGTTCACTTTTCATGGTTGTGGCCAAGTTTCTCACAGTCCCGTAAAGTTTGTTTACAGCCACCAGTCTTGGCTACCAGTGTTCTGAGCTGTTATTTAAGCCTTAATTTACCCCCAAGTGTCTTCTAAGAGCTCAGTAAGCAGGGGAAGTGTTGGTAATGCTGCAAGACAATATTGATTTTCTGGAGTTTGGCAAATTCTCTGGCTCGGCACCAGTCAAGTTCCGAGGGTGCTGGACTAGAGAGATTCAACCTGTAACAGCAAACTATCAGGTTATAAAGAGGTAAACAACCCATTTTCTGACAAACAAATTGAACTGTAAATTTGTGTTGTACATTTTTGGCCCTATTTTTATAACTGGAGCCCAAAATAGTGCTTCCACAAATTAGTTTGTGCACATATAAGCTGTTTTCAGAGCTCACTAAACTAATCTGTTCATGCATAAATAAACTTACTGCATATGCAGATGGAAACTTGTGCATATAAATACTTATTTGGGCATGCACAAACATTTTATGAACTCAGCCAAGCATCCATGCATGTGAAGCTTTTGTGGGCACTTCGAGCCTGAGTCTTGAAAACATGGCTTCTGTTCCAATTTTTTTGTAGTGTGGTAATGCATAGATACCTCAAAGAGGAGGACACTGTGTCAGATGCTCTACAAACATGCAACATTTTCCACTACTCAGATTTGCTTTTAGTAGTAAGGTACTGCTGTTAGCTAAAATAATCATTTTCTAAGAGTCTGAGATATTCCTGAGTGGGAAATAGACACTTTGCTCCTTTTTCGGTATAGTCAGCTTATTACTGCAGGAATCATTCACTGCTAGTCTAAGGTCAAAGGACTTGAACCCATTCTTATAACTCAGGTTTTTTACTGCTGTTGGAATCACGTTGTCTTGTTGTAGTATCCTTTGGTCACAAGAAGACATGTTGTTAAGTAAGGGGGTTGAGAATGCATACTAAACTGTTGGTCTTTTGTTGACAAGCTTGAGTCAAATTTATCATCTTTAAAAATGGTATCTCATGATTACATTTCATCCAACTTCATAAAATTACCACAAGTACCTCTTGCACTATTCAAGGCTGGGCTTGAATTAAATTGTCCCTTATATGTAAGATGGGTGATGGTCACAGGCAAAAACTGGGATTATTGGAAGATCAGTGTGTTAAAATTTGAATTGTGTCTGCTTGCATAGCACACCTGACCTATGATGAACAGAAATCTCCAGCTTCCTGGTTGCTTCACATTCCCTTGACCTTTACGAATGCAAATAACTCCCTCAAACGTGAAAGATTAAAAGCTACAGATCAGCAAAAATTGCAGATCTGAGTGCTAGTATCAACTTGACTCTTGCTTTACATAACAAGGCATACTCAAAAATAAATGCTATGTTCTGTTGCCCAATTATAGAAAACACTATGTAGTACTTTTGCACACCTCATTAACACCTCAAGTGTTCAGCTCTTAAGAAGTGTGTTGAGATGGTGCATCTATTATTGGAACAAAGGCACTTACACGATTCATAACACTGAAGAGAGATATCAGTTGCTGAAATAATAGCAAATGACGTGAGGATTTTTATAATAGCTTTTGGAGTTCAGTTAAGTAATGACAAATGAATATGTAGGTATGAGAGGCGCCCAGTAGTCCTGTCTGTGGCAAGCTTGTATCAGTGTGTTTGCTTTAATACTGTATTTTGGTGGGGTTTTGCTATAAAGAGGCATTAAAATTACTCGTTTCTGAAGTGTAGCTCACAAGTACATGCCACACAAGGTCTTCCCCTGAGGGCCAATTCCTCGGATGGTATAAATCAACACAGCGCCTCAGATTTCAATGGGATTGGCGAGTGCCCAGCATTCTGAAAATCAGGCTGCTTTACTTAGGTGCCTCATAAATATGCATGAAGGGGCTTAAATTTAAGCATCCAGGCTTGAAAAGTTTAGCCCAGAGAGATGGTAAATTGGGCTGTAGGAAGGGAGATTATATTGCTGCTATTATTGCTATATTGCTCTTCTGGGGATAAACAGATGACTTTGGACTCCAGGGGCTACCAAGGCAACACCTTTCTCCAAAGGTTTTACAGGTTGTTTATTTAAACACTGGGGGAAAACATTATTTGCATGCTTTTTCTAAACAGGTATTTCTCACAAAAAGGGAAAGTTAAAAAAAATCAAAGCAATAGAAATGTGACTTATCCATTTCAAACACATTAGCAAGCATGTGGTTTTATTTGTATTTAAACTGCGGTTTCAATTATTTATGAAGAGTTGCATACTGAGGTTATCACTGAGGTCATTATTTAACTCTGACTTTTATCAGAAGTGGAGATGGGCTGCAGCTTCATATTGCTGCATTGAGAACACAACAGCCTTCTTGCATTTCTCCAACTTTTCAATTTATTTTTCTTTTCTTTCTTTCTTTTTTAGATGTGGAATTTTGTAAAAATCAGACTCTAAAAAAGTGTCTCCTGGAATTATGGGAATGTTACCTGTACTCACCATATGAAGGAAGCATATCAGGTATTTCAGAAGCACATAATTGTACTCAGGAAGTCCTTGGATTACTTGTTTACAGCTCGTCACTCGTAAACAGCTTTTCACATCTGTAATATTAAGATCATATGTAACCTAATCCAATAGGCATCAAAATACAGACAAGGTTGCAATTTTCTTTTTAGGACAATTTATATCCTCAGTGACTCCTGCAAAAACCTGGTGAAGCTACATCTCTGTCAGGGGGAAGTGAATTTAGCTCGACCTATGTACACTACTTCCCCTTGCTGGGATAATAATTAGCAGCATGCCTTTGGATTGTGAAGACACTTTCAACTGAGATTTTCAAAGGGACTTCCAATTAATGAATTAATAGTGTCATGCACCATCCTTGTGAGGTAAGAAGGGACTATTATGCCCACTTTATAGACAAGAGAATGGAGATACAGATTGGTGAACTTACTAAAAAATGATGACGTTGGTCATTGACAGAGTTATGAAAGGAATCTTATTCCATCTGATTTCTAGCCCTCCGTATAGTAAATGGATAGTGCAACTCAGAGCCAGAGAATAACCATTAGGTTATTTTCTGTAGTAGATGAGTTAGTTAGTGCTGGTCCCTTGCTACAGGGAAATTTCATGGTCCTAAATTTGAATCTTATTTGGTCTCTTTATGTACTGTATACAGCTGCACTGTATTTATTTTCTGACTAAACTCTCCATGAGATGCCTGCCACTCATAACGCTCTCTCTTTACTTATGTATGTCTGCAAACAAACCTCTGTTATGACCCCTCAATGTTCAAGTCCTAGGCAGAGACTGAAAAGACGATGATTTCTGTGGATATGTATTATCTAGAACTAGCTTGAGGTCATTAAGATCATTTTCACCGATGAACTAAATATGGTTTGAACCCAAGACTACCAATGGAAAGCAAATGACACCCTGCACTGCCAACCTAGTCTATTTGACTTACAATTACTTGAACATCAGAATATATTTTTACGGTGTTCCTCAACAGACCCACACATAGTAAACTACACAGAACTCCAATGAAGGCTTGAAGCAAATGTTACTGATTATTTTGTACTCTACCCTGGATTATCAAGAATGAGATTATTCACATTGGCAAAGTGAACCATGTATACAATGGGCTGCAGGGTCACAGACATGTTCAATTTTTTATATTCTTCTCTGTTTTGCAAAAATGCTTAGTAACTGTAATTATGGATTGGGACTCTACTGCATTATACAAATACATAATGAAAAGGCAGTCCCTGCCTGAAAAAGGTTGCAATGATAGTCACCAGCCACAATACAGACTGCCACTGATAACAATTTCAGCTTTCCAACAGCAGAACCTTACAGTTACCAACAGAATGTTAACAAGCAGGAAGCAGCCAACCCGTAGTTAGCCCCAGCTCAAAGATCATGAGGTTAGAACTACTCTTGCACAATTTGTGACCAGGAGTTCTGTTGACTCCCTTAGCTTAGCTGAATTTAGAATCCACCCAGAATGGAACTAGTGGACAGCACAATATATATCTTTACAAGCTCAGGCACTAAATGCCAAACACACCAGAATATACTGAGTTACTTTGTCAGCATAAAAAATTCTCCATGCCTGGAAAAAGGTCATATGATGGAAGCTTTGCCACCAGTAAATTCATGTGATATCAGCCATTTAGATAATTAATATATTCCCCTCTCTAAGTTTTAAGTCAATCTGGTTTGTTCCTTAATATTGCAGAGTAGCAGCTCTACTAAAACTGCAAAGAAATATATGTATAGGCAGGGCCAAATATATAGAGACTGGGCCAAATGTCACCAGTGCACCAATCCCCCACCTGGCTGCCAACTTCCATTCCCAAGGGCAGTTGTACTTTAGCAGCAAAATGATTTGTGTATGGAGCAAGAAATAGTTACAAAAATCACAATGAAAACCTCTAGGATATAAAAGCACCATATAAAAACATACAAGAAGAACAGAAACAACTTTGAACAACAGATTTTAGTATTGGGCAAAGGAATAGAGCAAAGTGGGCTGTGTATGGGGGAAAGAGGGAAGGATGGAAGAAAATGTGCATATTGATATATAATAATAGCTGTTTTGTATTTCCTTTTCAACTAAATACATACAAAATAAAACTGATAAGTCAGTCCATATTTAGGTCCCTTGTCTATTTTCAGAAACTTTGAACAGACAACAACTTTTATGTATCTGCCAGGCTGGAAGAAGTTAGCGGCTCAGGACTTCTGAAAATTAAGCAGCTGCCTACATATGAACTTGCACTCTATTTTTGAACATTTTGACCATAGATTTTTACTTCTGCCCTCTGCTAGACGGAATGCTGAACTTCCTATCACAACAGTCAAGTCCCTGAGGTATGTAGGAGACGAATGTTTCTATACAAATCCTATTGTATCATGGGTCAGCGACTGAATGATTATAAATTACCCAAACTCATATCAACTACAAAATATCAATCCCTTTACATGATATCACGTGATTTATACTCACTGGTGATTGCAAGGATTTGATCGTAAGATTCGAAGGTTAGCAAAGGCTGTGGGAGTTCCTCCATAGTCATCAAAATTCACAGGCTTGCCTAGAGAACCAAAAAGGATGACTGCTCAGTAACATGTTTCAAAATTATGGTTCAAAAATTCTGTTCTAAATCACAGTTAGAAAAAAGAAAACCTCGTTTTCAGCTGCTGCAAAAATCTTAACATTGTCATGCTGTACTTTTTTAAATGAAGTTTTATTAATCTAGCTTCCAGAGACACACCTCCAAAAAATTTTCAGCAAATTAATTCAACACATTTCACAAACTGTTATGTAAAATTATATTTCATTGTCATAACCACAGAAAAACAGTAGAGACAAAATGACAAGAAGATACTGCTCTGGATAATTTGTAACTAGCTGAAGTAACCTACCAAGCACTGAGGCAATGAAAGTGTTTATGAAAAACTAGCCCATTTTTGACTTAAGTCTCATAATTCATTAGCTGCTTTAGATCTTGTAAACTTCAGCTCTGACATCAATAGATGGCTCATTATTTAGAAAGCTTTAAATGCCTGTCGTTATCTTTCAGGTTTCTGTGTTACTGCTGATACTAATATGACATTTTACGTTATAAATGGGTTTGTGATTAACTAACTCTATGAAAGACAGAAATACGGTGTCACCAACAGATACACCATCAATATGGCCTTTAGAGTGTTATTAATTTACAGCAACAGGAGGATGATGACTTACCCTGATTATAGAGTTTCTGAACATCTTTAATAGTTTGGATGCTGGCTGACCTTCTGAACAGGCCTTCTACTTGGAGTCCTGAAAAAATAAAATGAAAGTGATCTGTGTGAAAGCTGTCCTTCACTGCTTTGTATTGATGGGTTTAAATCATATTAAAACAGAGCGAGTGGGTTTGGTGACAGGTAGACATGACAGGTTCAGAAGCAAGCGGTTTTCAAGCCCTGCCATTTTTTTGAATTGAGAATCCAGTGAAGTTCTTCTGAAAAGGTGGCTGCTTAGAAAAGTAAAGTTAATAAAAGTCCCCACATGACTTAGGAAATTTAGTCTCATTTCAAAGATAGTAGCGCTTAAGGGCTTTGCTATACATAAACTTAATTTGTGGCAAGATGGGGTGTGACTAACTTCACACTAGCCTGCCACACACTGGCTGGTAGTGTGGACACTGCTGCAGTATATTTAAAAAATTCATAAACAAACTACGAAAATACAACCAACTAGATGGAGCTGCTATAAGGTGGGTGTATAACTGGTTGGAAAACTGTTCCCACATAGTAGTTATCAATGGTTCGCAGTCATGCTGGAAGGGAATAACAAGTGGGGTCCCACAGGGATTGGTTCTGGATCCAGTTCTGTTCAATATCTTCATCAGTGATAATAGCATAGAGAGCATGCTTACAAAGTTTGCAGATGATCCCAAACTGGAGAAATTCTTTCTCTACACAACCTCTTAGGGGTATACAGCAGGGAGATAAAAGCTTGTGTATGCAGAAAATAAAGTCAGTCTACGCCACCCTAACCCCATTTGCGTGAAAATATTCTAAGGGTTTTATTTGTGCTCCACTGTGAAACTGAAATGTTGTACTCAGGTCAGCTCTAGTTTTTAGTCACTATGTAAATTAGCATAAATTCACCCTAGTTGGTGTGTGAAAGGGTGCTCTTTAAAAAACATAGGATAATATGTGATTTTTAGCCATCTACTAAATGCTGTTCATGAGAATGTGAGTTAATATAATAGCAGAATCAACAATGTACCTAAATAGAAATAAGCCAGTGGAATTTGAATGCACACTCAACTAATGTTTACAGTACTGTCCAAGAACATCTGTTAGTAATTTAATTCCTAATTTTGCAAATATTTAAGACCTTTTCCTCAATTTAAAGTTAAGCATAAGGATGACTATTTGCAGGATATAAGTCTTATACTAAACTTCAGAACATGTGGTCAAGTCTGAAGAGTTATAAATAGGGCCCTAGCAAATTCATGGTCCCTTTTGATCAATTTCATGGTCATATGATTTTTAAAATGGTAAATTTCATGATTTCATGTATTATATTTAAATCTGAAATTTCATAGGGTTGTAATAGTAGGGCTCCTGACCCATAAAGTAGTTGTGTCTGGGTTGAAAGGTTATTATATGGGGGTTATGGTATTGCTACCTTTACTTCTATTCACCTGCTGGCAGCAGCATTGCCTTCAATGCTGGGCAACTGGGGAAGAGTGGCTGCTGGCCAGAAATTTAGCTGTGGAGGCAGGGCTACTGCCAGCAGCAGCAGCACAGAAATAAGGCTGGCATGGTATGGTATTGCCACCCTTACTTCTGCGCTGCTCCTGCAGAGCTGGGTTCTTTGTCAGCAGGCACCCACCCAGCTCTGAAAGCAGCAGTACAGAAGTCAAGGCAACATTGGTATAGTACTGCATGGCTGCTGTCAGAATACTGCCTTCAGAACTGGGCATCCGGCCAACATTACAACCACCACTCTCTAGTTACCCAGCTCTGAAAGCAGCGCAGAAGGAAAGGTGGCAATACCATGACCCTCCTAAAATGACCTTATGATCCCCCTGCAACTTTCTTTTGGGTCAGTAGCTCCAATTTCAGAAATGCTGATCTACCCTGTGAAATCTGTATAGCATACAGCAAAACCACACAAAAGCCCAAATTTCATGGTCCGTGATGCGTTTTGCATGGCTGTGAATTTAGTAGGACCCTGGTTATAAATCAAAATATGCCAGAAAACCCACTTTCACGGAGGCTAGGAGGGACAATATAGAATGTGGGTATTAGAGGACTAAATAACTATCTGAATGCTTGTTTTATGCCCTTCCAACTATATTTAAATTGAATAAAGTTACTCTAAGCCACATCACTGCAGCAAAACTGCTCTTTTAAATTTATAGCTCAACATGTGTGAAACTACAATTCTGAAAACGGTAGGCAGAATGGGCATTGCCTTTAGCAATCAATCAATATAATCATTTTCTGAGAATTTCACCCTAGCTGCCATTGGTGCACAGAATATTTTCTAGAGAATGAGTTTTCCTTGGGATGGAGCTCGTAATTGTTCACTATTTCATTTTAAGGAGTTTATTTAACAGTTAATGCTTTTATCTGATGTAGTTCTCCCTCCATAAACTGCTTTGTAATAAACATCCACTTTTAACATGTTTATTCCTTTATCGGGTATGCTTTACAGAGAGTTTTCCTGGGTCTAATTGAATACATTAATCTGAAGCGCAGACAGCAGTTGTGCATACGTGGCACTAAGTCTTGTCATCTTCATTACAATAATGATACTTAGTACCAAACTCTTGCCAGGTAAATATCTTAGCAGTCTTAGAGCAAAAGTGACTTTAAGTTTCACATAAAGAAACATGGAATATTGATGTCACTTGCGCTGTTTCCAAAGGTAATATTCAGGACATATAAAATGTAAGAAATAAATTGCAATTTATTTAACCACAAGCATCAACCAGATAGTTACCAAAAGTAGGTTTCTTCCAGAAAATTTCAGCCACTCATCAGCCCATGCATAAAACTATTTAAATTAACCAGTTTTGAGTCCTTTAAACGAGCACAGCTATCTTTACAGCAAAACTCCTGAAATTAATTTATCTTTTCACTTGGGAAGTGAATTGCATGATTTTATTTTCTCCCAAAACCAAAAATCCTTTTTTCTCAGATTGAAAATTATATCCTTTTATAAAGCATAGGTCATAACTTGAACAAAAAGGTGATAGTGGAAGAGTCATTTTTGGTAGGAATAAAGAGAGGGGTTTTTTCTGACTGATTCCTTTTGACCTTTGTAGTGTATAGGAATCAGATAGTATCACTTTAAAAAGGCAGTGTTCCTCCTGTGGATCACATTTTTAGACGCCACCACGAACCTTGCCAGAACAGAAATGTGTGTATCTATAGCCTTTAGGGTGACCAGATGTACAGACTGTATAGGGACAGTTCGAATATTTCGGGGTCTCTTAGGTGCCTATTACCTCCATTTCCATCCTGATTTTTCACACTTTCATCTGGTCACTCACATAGTCTTGTATATAGTTAGTAAACTTAATATTCAGACTGCACTATCCCTGTGTGGGTCCTTCATATTATATTGTTGGGTTAAGAGCGAGAGACACAACCACCTTTTTGAGTAACCTAATACAGTATTATTTACCACCAGCTCTGCCAAGCACATGCTAAAAAAATGCTCTTAATTTTGCAGTGAACACATCAGCACTGATAAAAGTAGTGAATGGCAAAAAAGTAGTCTCACAAACACGGTCCCTACTCTGAGACATTATGACTTAGAATGCTGCATTTAAAAAAATATGTTTTCCTCATCTTGGCAGACAAGTTAACTTCTTTTGCCATTAATAGCATATTCCAGCCATAGAATAAACAATTGTATATACAGACCTTGGCAATATATTCCTTGGAAGTTAAGTGATGGTTTACTTCAAAAGCTTGCTTATGAATTTGAACTACTTAGGAACAATCCATTGCAATCCCAAGTCATGCACCCATACCCCACTCCAAGTTGCAGATCCTCAGCTGGTGTAAACTGGCTTGGCTTCACTCAAGTAAACAAAGATGTGCTAATGTATAGCATATAAAGATCTGGTTCAGAAAGCCCAGAATTAAAAATAAAATTAGGAGAGAATTAAACATATTTTATTATACAGAATGGCACAGTGATCTGAATTGGGAAGAGGATGTTTTATCTTACCACATGTATTCACTGACAAATAACTACATAGCTTTGTGAACTTAACTGGTTATATATTCAAACTATTTCATAATCATCACTGAAAACAGCTGGATACTCTATCTTGCCTTTTAAATAAAAAGGATCTTAATACCATAGGCAGAATTGTATATTGCAATGCCATAGCCTGTAATGGCACAGTATATAGTTATAGGACACTGTGGTACACTCAGAACTAAAATCAGTAAAGTACAGACAAAAATCTCTTCTAAAACACAAGACTTATTGTACCATAGGATGAATACACAGGAATATTTAGGAAGGGTCAAAACTGATAAAAAATTAACAAAAAACATTTGTGTTATGATTTTACTGAAAAATGTGTCAGAAAGAAAAATTAGAAACACATTGGATTCCTCTTTCAAAATGAGAGCTAGTGATTTAAATTCGTAGAACTAAAAGGAGGGATGGGCCTGCAATTATATTAAAAAACATCACACTGGCTGAAGCACAATACATAAATACCCAATCTTTGTGTTTTAAAATTCCCCAAACACCTAGGAGTATATTCTACTTTGACCTCACATTGGATCACAGTACAGGTTTGAGGAAACTTCCTTTCCCTTTGTGTTTCCTATGTAAGGCAGATATCATATACCTTGTATAACATCAACCCGTGGGCTTTGTTAGTTGAATGGGCTGCTCCCTTTCTATTCCAAGGGGGTGTATAGTGACAAATACACATGGGTAGGAGGTGAGGCCATGATCCCAGTCCCATTCAGACACTGACCAGCAGTGCAACTGTGATTAGTTGCACTGCTCCCAACACAGAAGCACAGCGGTGGTTTTCTCCCCATGGGACTGTGTGATTGTGCTTTGCTTAAATGGCACAGTCTAGTCCTTGGATTTTAGAATTAATAAGTTCAAGTTACACCTGATATCTCTGATTATGTAATATACTTGGGCACCAATGAAATTGGTTCTTATTATTACCAGGTTTATTTTTTTCTTGAGGTTTCTGCAGACCTCTCAACCACATCTGAAATTTATAATGTCTCAGTGAATCCTGGTAAAAATACAGCTTTTGTTAAAAAGTCACT